AGCCTGTGTGCAGACCGCCCTCCCTGCTGGCCCGGTGCCCGCCAAGAGATACTTCCCTCTGCTGAGGGCCGGGGTCTCTCATTTCCCAGGCCCCTGGTCCCTCGGGGCCAGCTCAGGGGACACAGAGCCCCTGGGGTCTCAGACCCAGATTGGCAGCCACCTCCCAGGGGCTTGTAGAACTCTGGACTCCAGCTCTGAGGTACAAGATCTGCAGGTCTGACGGACACCCTGGGGGCCTGCCACAGGGACACTGGGGGATGCCCATGAGACCCCTCCCAGGCTCAGTTGGGGTAGGGGCTGTGCAGACCTGTGGGACAGTCTGCCCAACAGAAGGACACTGTGCCAGTCCTGCTCGGTGAGCGCCGTGGTTCTAGTGCGTGGGCTTTGCTGCAGCCGTGGTGTCAATCAACCCGCCGGAGCTGTTCATCTATTTATCTAATTAACAGACTTCTTCTCAGAGCACTTTCACGCTTAGAGGGAAACCGCTCCGTGCGTTGGATCTCATCCCCACACATGAGGGGGCTTCAGATCGTTTGGGGGGGTCCCTCCTCTCTTCATCTGTTTTCTACTGCGCACTTCTTCCCGGCCTCGGAGACAGGAGCACCAGTGCTCAGGGGAGAAGCTAGAAGGGAGGACGAGTGGTGGGTCCCACGGGTGCCTGCAGGGATCACCCCACCAGGTAGAGGGGGTGCTGGAAGAGTCGGGGGTGAGGGGGCCCCTGCGGGAGATGTGCCTCTCCAGCTTTCCAGTGAGAGACTGGCATGGACGCACCTGCGGCTCAATGACAAGGAGAGAGCCGGCCTCTCCTGAAGTCAAGGGACAGCACCCCCCTTCCCGCCACCCGCCAGCCTACCGCCTTGGCAGTTCCTAACTCAGTTCCTGCAGATGTGAGGCTGCACATGCCCCTTCTGCGTGGTGATGGGATTTGGCGCCTGGCTGGCTAGCAGCAAGGAAAAACATTGCATTGCCAGTGATAGAGATGGATGGTATGTACCCCTGGGGGGGGAGGTGCATGGGAGGCCCGTACCTATGGGGCTCCAAATCGCTATCTACGTGGCCACTCGGTGGCTGGGGGACCCACTGGTCCCCGGGGTTCCTGACGGGGCCCTCCTTTCTAGCAGCTCTGTGGGCTCTCCTCGCAGAGGGACCTCAGGCTCAGAGTCACACTGCTGGGGTAGACTTCTGCCTCGGTTTCCCTCAAGGGTATAATGGTTACTGAGTTAGAGAGCTAACCACAAGGTCAATGGTTCAAAACCACCAGCCGGTATTGCCTTCGGGGCAGTGAGTTCTTTGGGGGAGTTTTTTGTTTTTTCCCAGTTTACCTGGACAAGGCCATGAGCTCTAAGGCCCCCAGTTTCCCCACACCTGTACAGCGGGGCTCAAACAGGGGACTAAATCAGGTGGCGCAGCTCCGGCCTGTGTGAGGTGCTGGCTGAGTGTCCGGCCTCGTTCCTGGCATCTCATCCCATCTACT